TTTTTTTTTTTTTTTAATTTTTTATTTAGGAATGCTAACTTTGCATTTTTTTTTTCTATTTTAAGGATTAATTGGATGGCTAAAACAACCATCTGACACTTCAGGAGAAATGGTGCAAATAAAGATACAAACTTTGTCATTTTTTCTATTTAAGAATGCCAACTTAGCTGGTTTTTAAATAAGGCACTAAACTTTTAACTTCTTCAATTTAAGAATGTCAACTTTGCATTTTTTCTATTTAAGGATTAATTAGATGGTGATGTTGATGTGTCAAATGGCTTTTTTAACCATTCAATTAATTTTTAAATAAAAAAAATGCAAAGTTGACATCCTTAAATAGAAAAAACACAAAGGTGGCATTCTTATAGAAGAAGCTGAAAGTTTACTATCTTATGTAGAAACAAGCAAAGTTCACATCCTTAAATAAAAAAAATGGCAAAGTTAATATTTTTATCTGCACTTTTTCTCAACACATCAGCATCACTATCTAATTAATCCTTAAATAGAAAAATGCAAAGCTGATATCCTTAAATAGAAAAAGGCAAAGCTGACATCCTTAAATAGAAAAAGGCAAAGCTGACATCTTTAAATAGAAAAAGTTAAAGGTTGACCGCCTCATTTAGGAACCGACAAAGTTCACATCCTTAAATAGAAAAAATGACAGTTTGTATCCTTATTTGCACCTTTTCTCTCCTATTCTAGGATTGTCCTACTTATCCACCAAATGACTAATATTGTTATATTTAATAATTGCTAAAAATGTGCAGTACAAAGGAAACCTAGTTTGAGTTTAAATTTCTAATTTATTCTTTTTCTTCATTCATTAGTTTAGTCATTTAAAAAAAAATTTCCATGTAGTTTGAACCCTGAAAGTATTTGAATATCCTACCGAAGAAGATTCATTTAGTTTAGATAAATAAGATTCATTAAGGGTGTTTTGGTACTTTCATAGACTTGCCTACACTTTTTGTGCAATCATTCTCTTAATTATTTCATACTTGAACAAATTACCATCTATTTAGCAACCCAGCTAATAAATAAGAAGCAACAAAATATTTGCTTCTCAGTAGATTTTTGCAATTTATCAACCTTATATATTCTTTTTATTGTTTTTTAGAACTTGACAACTAATAAGTTATATTGATGATGGTGCATCCATGCGCTCACATCACATCTTCTTAGGTCAAGGTTTTGCTACTGGAAGGATAGACCTCGGGGAACTAGAAGTTACCAAGATCACTAAGTTTGAGAGGATCTGGAGCTATAATTTGTTGTGTGGAAAAGCAAAAGGTACCACATTTTACAGACCTTTGGGGATCCCTGATTGCTTTTTCTGCCTAGGATACTACTGCCAGCCCAATGACCGGCCATTGAGAGGTTATGTTCTTGTAGCTCGTGAGAAGTCAGTTTCCTACCCAAATGTTGGATGTCCTCTTGGCTTCAAACCAGAACTTCCAGCTCTAATGAAGCCTCTTAACTACAAGTTGATTTGGAGTACAGAATCACATGGAGAAGGTTGTGGTTTCTTCTGGCTACCAAACCCACCTGCAGGTTACAAAGCCATGGGACTTGTTGTTACTGACAACCCAGAGGAGCCTGAAGTGGAAGAAATTAGATGTGTTAGAGAAGATCTTACAGAGAATTGTGAAATCTGTGATTGCATGCTAACCACAGATACAAACCCATTTCAGGTATGGAAAACAAGACCTTGCAAGAGAGGAATGTTTGCTAGAGGTGTTTCTGTTGGGACATTCTTCTGTGGCATCTGCCTGAGCTCTGAAGATCAGCTGGATTTTGCCTGCTTGAAGAATCTTGAGTCCACACTTCATGGAATGCCAAATTTAGACCAGGTTCATGCACTCATCAACCACTATGGCCCTACTGTTTTTTTTCATCCTGATGATGTTTATATGCCCTCATCGGTTCAATGGTTTTTTAAAAATGGAGCACTTCTCTACAAATATGGAAAGGTTAAGGGTGAACCGATTAATTATCAAGGTGCCAACCTACCTTTTGGAGGAAAAAACGATGGTGCATTTTGGATAGATTTGCCTGAAGATGATGATGCTAGAAACAATGTAAAGAAAGGAAACTTAGAGAGTGCGGAGCTCTATGTTCATGTGAAACCGGCACTAGGTGGAACATTCACCGATATTGCAATGTGGGTTTTTTGCCCCTTCAATGGACCTGCAACCCTTAAGATAGGGTTAATGAGCATTCAGATGAGCAAGATAGGTCAGCATGTCGGTGACTGGGAGCATTTCACCCTACGCGTGAGTAACTTTACTGGAGAGCTATGGCAGGTATACTTTTCACAGCACAGTGGTGGTGTTTGGGTGGATGCCACTGACTTGGAATTTATTGAAGGGAATAAACCAATTGTTTACTCATCTAAAGGTGGGCATGCTAGTTTTGCACATCCAGGGACTTACCTTCAAGGATCAGTTGAGCTTGGAATTGGAGTAAGGAACGATGCTGCTCGAAGCAAGTATGTTGTTGATTCAAGCGCTAAGTATCAGATCATTGCAGCTGAGTATCTTGGACATGAAGTAACGGAACCATGTTGGTTGCAATACATGAGGGAGTGGGGTCCGACCATTGTATATGATTCCCGGTCAGAACTCGACAAGATAATTAATCTTCTACCATTGTTTGTTCGATTTTCCGTGGAGAACATCTTTGATTTATTTCCCATGCAGCTGTATGGGGAGGAAGGACCAACCGGACCAAAGGAGAAGGATAATTGGGAAGAAGATGAAAGATGGTAGTCTCCTGAAGTCACCTCACTTGACACCGCATTTGAATACTTCCTCTCCGCTTTTCAGTAAATTAACTTGGAAGATTAAATTCATCACGTTACACTGTTGATGAATTGACTGGTGTGATGTTGGCAGGATATCATGTCTTGTTGTAAACATGTAATGTTGGTAGGACTTGTGTTTGATTGCAAATCTCCTGGTAAAACGAGAGCTACTCTCGGTTTTGGCTCCTTTGCCATGTAATGTTGTATTTTATTCTGGGGATGGTGTATCCCTCTATGCAATATATCAATCCAATCATGAAGTATAAAGCATAAAAACTAAAAAGTGCTTCCCATGCAAGCAAGTTTAAAGGAACACAATTATATGGCAAAGTCTGACCTGACAATCTGCCTTCACCGTCAACAGATTTAGTACAGAGTAAACTGAGAACCTGCTCTTCTTCGAGAGACCTGTAGAAAACATCTCTGGAAATTTGTCATGCAATTGTATTCCAGTAATTTATTTCCTGGTTTAATCATATCAACCTGTTTAGGATCTCTGAAAAATGGTTGTATACATAAATTGGCACGGAAAATTGGAACTTTCATTTCATAGAGATTATGTAACTTGAATTTACACAGCCAAATTCCTGACGGTAAAATTCACGCGGCTTCCCAATTACAAGAGGATCCCTTTTCTCCTCTCAAAACAAACAAAAATTAAAAAGATATGCCCTACAGTAATCTTGCAGGAATTTAGCAGTAGCAAAATGAAACGCAGAGTCTAAAAGGTGATTGAACATACATCACGTTAGATGCCATTTACACAATCACAAAATGTTAGATTTGATAGACCACGTATGAATAAATTGAAAATGCTTTCCGCTACCTTGGCATTGTGCTGGTTTTGTCATCTTTCCTTAGGTCCTCCCAGCTTATCTCCCTGCCACATTCCCCACAGATTGTACTACAACCATTTTTTGTACCCTGACTTCTAAGGGTCAGGATGTGTGCAAGAGGTGTACATTTTCGTTGCTGCACAATGCAACTCCTAAAAATACCCCTTCGTTGTGGGAGCTGGATGATCTCCATGACTGGTGCAGGAGCTGCCAGATCTGATGCAACAGCAGGCTTTTGCTCTGATGCAGATTCACCAAGAGGCACTCTCTGCACTTCCTCCCATTCTAAAGTTTTCTGGTACACTTCCCAGGCCATGTCCTGCTCCTCCTTCGAAAGCTTCTCTTCTTCGTTCTCTTGCAAAAGTGTCTCATGTTCATGGTAATTGGCAATCCATCTAAAAACAAAGGTAAGAAACCATTTATTACTAGTTATTATCTATTTATTTATACAAAAGATATACTGATGATAAAGTTAAGAATATCATGCAACAGCCTCAAAAATGCACTCTTTAAGTTGTATGACATAGCAGCCTGCACTACAGATAACTTCGCAATTCATTTATCCGTTCTTGTATCCAAATCTAATTAAAACTATCAAGAGAAAAAAAATCAAACAAAATATCTCCTCTGGTGTACATTTAAGTGGACATATGCACAAGATTCAATGATTCAATGACCGCAAATGGATATGTGCTTTGCTGAAACATAGCTATTTATGCAGTTCAGAAGGCAGGGAATATCTGTTCCAATACCACCATTTCTTCTCATGCTTTCCTCCCCAATGAAATAAACGATAGCAAACAAGAGTTGAATGCATAACTGTTCAACCATACCACAAGAATTTATTTCCAATGGGATTTTCTTCTCTTTGCTTTGGCTTGTAATGGGGGTGGGGCCGTGGGTGTCTGGGTGGGGTGAGGGTGCAACAGGGCTGTAAAGAAATTGAACAAAGTTGTAATCCAACTCGAGCTTGAGTCAAGCTCCAAGCTTGGAAAAATCGAGCTAGAGCTCAGCTTGAATAGGCTCAAGTGAAAAAACCCACACACACAATTTATTCATTTTTTACAATTATCAAGCTTGATCAAGTAGCTCCGGCTACATGACTCATTAACAGCCCTAGGTGCAACTAACCCTGCTGACAAAATATTGATCTATATGAGAAATTTTAAGATACGTTTTCAGACAATTTCCATGGACATAGACCAACTTAGTAAGAAGTAAAACCAATTACATTTTTTTTTTTTTTTTGGTAAATTGGACCAAATACAAATAAGTCTCCAATGAACTTACAAAAAAGAAACATAAACAGGAAAAATACATGCTAAAAAAAAAAAAAAATCACAAATGTGCTTCAACTTCACGCTAATAAAAGCTAAGGCATGGCAAATAAATAAAACAGATTGAGAAATTACAAATACCTTGGATGATGCTTGCCAATTAAACTTTCCATCAACTTGTCAGAAGAACAGCTACCATGAGAACAAGGCACCTTCTGCTTAATTGAATTTCCGGCTTCACAGTCCACATTTTGGCCATTTGCTCTTCCATTTTCTTTGTTTAGCTCAGCCAAAGCATCAACGTTCTCATCATCACCAAACTCAAAGAGATGTAACATCTCCTCTTTAGAGATGGTCCTATGCACTTGTTGTCTATCAACCACCCTTGCAGCAAGCCCTTCCTTTGTTACCTATTTGGAACCATTCTATAATCAAAACCCATTCAAGAAACAGAAACCAGTTACACGAAAATTTTTCTTCCTCTACCTGACGCTTATAAATTTTCTCCTCCATAGTTCCATGTGCCATCAATCGATAAGCAAACACTGGCTTTTGTTGGCCATACCTACAAGATTACAGAACATCATAATGCCATAGCAACATGAGAATAAGGAAAAATGTTGATTAAAGTATATAATAGCTTAAACCCACCTCCAAGCTCGATAAATAGCTTGGAGATCATATGTCGGGTTCCATGAGCCGTCGACAATAATTACACGGTTAGCAGCATGAAGATTAATCCCCAGAGATCCTGCTCTGGTAGAGATAAGAGTACATTTGACTCTTTTGTTTGTTGGTTCATTAAACCTCTCAACCAACTTTTGTCTTTCAGAACTTTCTGTTTTTCCATCCAGCCTGTAGAGCAGATAAAAGAAATAAAGGGACGTAAGCATTGTTTGTATCAAATTTCCATATACAATAAGCAAATGTATATGGAAGAAATCTATTACCAAAAATTAATGCAAACAGATCCTAGATGGGAATCTAATATATATACATGGCACTAGGCCTAGGAGGAAGATGGATATGGTAAAGCAGCAGCATTGAAAACAAAAATAAATTCAAGTATCATATACACAAAAAGAAAAAATAAAATGTAGAAAAAGTAAAAATAGAAAAGAGTCAGAAGTATGGGGAAAGAGAAAAGTTTTAAGAATAATGGTGACCTTAAACTATAAAGACCTCAAAATTTTATAGTCCTAAAAAAAGTGCCGAAATCCAAATGCACAAAATCTGATTTAAGGACAGATGAAGATAACAATTACAATTAAAAACTACACAATCAAAACCAATAACAAATTTAGTTAAGTAGTTTTTGTTCAATCAAAGAATACAAGATTTTCAACAACTAAAATGCTTAATTTTCTCATCATGAACCTGGGAGTGAAAGAATTTAGAATCACCCGAAACTTCCAGCACTAGATCCCAGTTAATTAATAACTCAGAATTCATGCTAAATTCAAACTTGAATGACTATAGCCAAACATGACACTAAAGCATATGCAAAACAAACAACATTCACCACAAAACAAGTTTAAAATTATTTCATTCACAGTTTAAAGAGAGAAAACGTTTCCCATAAAGAGTATGAAACTAAAACATGCTCACAAATAAGCAGATCAATACGCTGGGAACTATCATTTTGATGAGGAAAGAGTCAATGAATTCAAAGTGCATACCCACCTGTACCAGTCCTTTCCTTTTTTCCAAAACTTCCCCTGTTTTCGATTTCTATGTAATCTTGAAAGATATAGCTCTATGAGATCCAAAGTAGGTATGCTCTGACTAAAAACCAATGCCTTGTCACCCACTTCTGAACACATGGTTAGAATGTCAAGCAACAAAACCATTTTGCCACTGTAATCAGGTTCTTTATAGTTATCCTCACCAAGAAGATCATTCCACCAACCCTGGCAAGCAAAAAGGTTAATATTAAGTGTAAACCAGGATTAGGAGACAAAATTTGGCATGAAGGTACTGTTTCAAACTCAGGAAGATGACACAGTCCAAAGAACAACGAACAAGTTCATATAAATTAAAAAACTAATCAGAACAATTCTGGTAACAAACAAACCTTTTGGAAAAAGCCACAATCATTTTTATCTCGCATAAAATCGTTTGTGTTCCTTGTCTTTTCTGTTACACAAAACAAGACTGTTAATACTCAAAATTTAATATAACAGTTAGGAGACATTAGGGGTTGATCAAAAACAAGTTAGAGACATTAAGGCTTTATTTGAGAATGCTTATTAGTACTTTAACTTTTAGTTTTTATGTCGTTTTACTATTTTAAAAAAAATATAATGTTAATTAAAATAAATATTAAATATATTTTATATATTTTTGGAATGTTAAAGGACCAAAAAACCTACAACTACAGCTACCAGCCAACACTGTCAAAACTAAGCCTAAATAAAGAGTGTTTTAACTTCCTATTTCTCACTTATATTGAAAAAGGAAAAAATTCCAAGTTTCTGATAGTCCTTTTCAGACAGATATGGCAGACTCCAACCAGCATAAAATGAGCCAGAATTTAGTCTTTATAAGTTAATAAGATGAACATTGCTAAAGTGCAGCATTATGCTAGTTTAACATGACAGTAATATTATCCATGGTAAATATTTCCAAAAGTAAGCACTTAAAAATAAACTAGAGAATACCTCCAGTGACCATATTATAGTCCATATTTTCATCACTAGAGCTGTCTTCAACGAGTATGTTTTCAGTAGCATCATCTCGATTTATGTAGCCCCTATCTTCTTTTGTCAATTGCAAGATCCCAGGATGATTCCATATCTACTAACGAAAACAGGAAGTACTCGTCAAGACTAATGACATAAATAACAAAAAGAAGAAGAATGAGAAGAAGATAAATATAAAGGTAGAACAAATGAGGAATGCATCTTTCCACCAGTACAGCTCACAATCCTAATTGAATAGTGAAGATATTCATGATTTCTCAGACTGCAAGTACTCAATGGAATATTTAAAACCCACAACTCACTCGCTTGTAAGCCACTTCACCTGAGTTCTAATAATGTTGCTTTCACAAACTAATTTATAGGTTGTAGAGCCATCACTTATTCACCATCATACTTGCATCTACATATAAAAAATGCAGCTCCCAAACTTCAAAAAATGCTATCATAGAAAGTACCTGTGCCAAGGCCTGGTACCCAGCAAAAAAGCTCTTCCTCATTTTCTCATTGGAAGCCCTGTCCTTTGTGAATCCATGCACGTCCAGGAATCTCTTGTACAGTTTCCTCTGTACTGGAGACAGCTTTACAGTTATAACAAAGACGGTTTTAGGTGGCAAGTCCTTTTTCACCACACTCATGTCCATTCTTTGAACAAACCCTTTTAGTTGTTCATATAGGATATGAGACCTTTGGTTCATAATTTTCACATCTTCATTTGTTGAATTCGTATGCTGACCATTTTCTATAGGATTCTGGAAGCTGCAAGTTTGGATTGAAGAATTATGCTTAACATCATTATAGACAAAAAGAAGAGAGCTAAAGAAATGGAGGAGAAAAGGCCTTACCGGTTCCTAAATTCATGGCTGCTTCCAAGAAAACCTTCTCTTACAAAATCAACCATCTGTTAAAAATAAAGTACAATAAGAACCATAGACATCAGGAAAGTAAAAATAACATTCCAGAAACAAGAGCGTACACAGTAATATTCCATGAGATTGTTTTGAAGTGGTGATCCTGTTAATGCAATCCTTCTCTGGCATCTCACTTGTTTCAATGCTTGGGTTGTATCAGCCCTGGTGTTCTTAATAATATGGGCTTCATCACAAACAAGTATATCTGGCCCATCCTACAATAGAAACAGAGTTTATTAAACGACTGAAAGCCTTGACAAAATGAGACTAGAATGATTAAAATTGCGCAGAGAAAAGAATTGCTGATACTAGGGTAAAAGCTAAAAAATTACAAAATTTTCAAATTTTAAGAGTTGATACAATTTAACAAGAAAACAAAGCAATTCTTCATAAACAACAGAAGCACAATAATGCAGTCAATAATGCAGTTAGCTTCAAAAGTTCATGTGAAATAGTTTTCTTTAACTAGTAATGTGTAAAGATGCCAAAATTATCTGCTGATTTATAAACTACAATCTGCTGATTTATTCAGATCTAAAAATGATAAAAATTATCAAAAAATAAAATATTATATATATATAGAGAGAGAGAGAGAGAGAGTTTGGATCCACTTAGACATATCACTTACACAAAATCTTGACCATTCATCTCTCCACTATAAATGGTTGAGATTCATCCAACTTTTTATCCTATTTATCTCTAAAGAGTCATGATAAATCTCAACCATTTATAATAGAGAGATGAATTATAAGTGATGTGTACAAGGGTTGTTGTTGTGTGTATATATACATATGAAGAACTTTTATTGAAAGACAATGACAACTACCTGCAAGACTAATTGAATTTCTCTGGCCATGTTTCGATCCTTAATGTGCTTCCCAAGGGATAAGTTTCGGAAAGCAGTATAGCCAATTAAAAAGACTCCACCTTTAGCTTTCCACTTTGCAAGCAATTCAGCCCGTCTCTCCCTGGAAAAAAGTAAGCATGCCAGCATGGTTGATAAGCTTGTTTATTTTTCTCCCTTTCAAAAGTTTTAACAATTTTCAGAAAGTAAAAAGGGATGGATCAGCAGTTAAGAAAGTAATTGACACTTAAAAGAGACTTGAATGCACAAGTTATTAGGGTACAATGATATTACTTTCTAAGATATTTGCATCATATTACCCTCATGCTTAGATTTCTACAATAGCTTGTACTATTTTGAAAATGTTATCTAGTACTAATTACTTAGGCATATACCAGTCACTTCATGTTTATCCTGTTATCCCATTCTGAGACAACCACATCTAATGTTGAATCAAAGTGCTACTTCCTATGGCAGGAAATCTTTTGACAAATTTGGTTAGATCACTTTATATAAAGCAAGTTGTATTCTCCAAAGTATGGATATTCTGAAAGAGTAGCTCAAAGAGTATTTGACATGTTGGCTCCAGACAAATGTTGGGTAATTCCAATGTACATTAAATATTGCAAAGACCATACAAGAGTCAATGCATCTATGATACAAAGTAAATACACAGGATAAATCTAGGATACAGAATGGATGCATTTTGATTTTCAATATGATTTTGTTATTTTCCTATTGAGAAACAGGTTAATTTCTAAAAAGGTCAAATGATATAAAGAGGCTATGTATATAAATAAATAAATATAATGTATATGAGTTAAGATCAACTTACATACAACTCTTACATACATTACTTACACAAAATCTTGACCATTTACCTCTCCATAGTTCAGATTTATCTACTTTTTATCCTCTTCTTTTAAGATAACTGTCATACAAATGAGATTAGCGTTTATCAACCAAATCTCTAAAAAATTAGGAGAAAATACACCACAAAACTATGTCATTTCAATAAAACAAGGGAAAAGATGAAGGTAGTCTCATTCATGCTCTAGGGTTTTTTAGTCTATTCCAATGGGAGTTTATCGAAGGGAAGTAGTTTTAGAGTGTGTTTTTGCTCCTAATTTTTAAGAGATCAGCTGATAAACACTTCTCATTGTGTGTATATATATATGATTGAGAAAAATCATAATGTAGGTCCTAATTTTCACCTTTTTTAATATATATATATATATGATAGGAATTTCACCTAATTTTTTAGAGATTTGGCTGATGATAAACACTAATCTCATATATAACTCCAATTACATACATTTTTTTCATTGTTTTATGTAAGCCAAGTGTTTGTTACATTTATCATTTAACATTTATTTTCAATTAAATTATTTTTACAGCATAAACTAAAGACCCTAGAAAGTAATAGCACTTTCAGTATAAACCTATTTAACTCTCAGTTGCCCTAACTAGTCACTAAGCCAAACAATTATATGCAGCTTGCTTATCATAAAAATAAAAATTATATTTGGCTTAAGCAATTGAAATCTTTCATCAACAAGAGCATAAAATTCAAGAAATGTGGTGATAAATTCAAATGATGGTACTCATTTCAAAGCCATAACCATTGAGCAATAAATGAAATAAAACTACAAATTTATATTATAGATGAAGAAAGGAAAAAATTGAACAGAACCTCGACACATCTTCTAGCATGAAGACACGGAGAGGCTTTACTTCTGATGGCCTCCACTTCATAAACTCCTGCCGCCAGTTGTGCAGCACATTGACGGGAGTGACAATAAGTGCAGTTCTTAATCCTAAATCTACAGTTCTCATTGCAGCATACAAGAAAGCTATAACCTGCAAATACATTTTGAAAATTAGGCAAATTAGATCTACCAACCAACTTAAAAGCTGCAAACAATACAAGAACAAAAAAAGGTTAATTAAGTCTCATATACTATAATCAATGTTGCAGAACTTGGTGGGCAGTGGTTGGGTTGTGACCCATTGCCCAGCACTGAGGACGGGGCGTTCTTGGATTTTTTTAATTTCTTCCTTTATACAGCCAAAAAAAGCTGAAAAAAATTGACAAAAATCTGAAGAAACTAGAAAAAATCTGAACCATACAGGCACAGTGCTTTCTCTTTTTTTTTTTTTTTCTGATTTTTTGTGATTTGTTTTCTATCTTCATTTAATTATTATATTCATTTCCCACCTAGTATATTTTAAAAAGAAAATACACGCTGATTTTAGTAAAGAGATAATGTTTATCATCTGGAAATTAATAAGACTGATTTAAAAGAAAAAAAAAAAAGTTTCCTGTTTTGATTTTTTGGTTTTGAAATTTAAAATTAATTGGGTCCCACCAAAGAGATAACATAATATTTTTACTACTAATTCTTTAAACGGCAATGCTATAGTTAGAATGCCAAAGATTGTAAGCTTACAATCATGACATGTCATTCAATAAATATGATGTGTCATTAAATGAATGGATGGATAGAGGACCCCTAAGTGAAGAGCCAATTACATAACACATCATGTTGTAAGTTTAAATACTGTGGCATTGTAACTACACCATTTTCGTTTTTTAAAAAATTACTCCCTCCATCCCATAATAAAAAAAGAGAAAAGAATTAAAAATTGTGCAGAAATACTGTTCATTGTCTTCTCCAATGAGCATGTTTCCAGGTTGGGTATTTTAAACCAACACATCTGGGGTGTCCTTACCCATTGACAGATAAATTATAGAGTTGTTTGCTGGTGCCATCTGAGGAGCTTTCCAGCATTGTTTGTTAGATTGCACCCTGATTTGCTTGCAGATCTAACCGAAAAAGCTAAATTTTGCATAGTAACTGCCTAACACTGCTGCATAGGGGCTTAAGTGATATGGCAGGGCCTGCCTAGCAACTATGTTTGCAACATTGGCTACAATAAGCATATAATAAGTATCACTATCATAATTAATAGTCACTAGGACTCTAACAACTACAATGCATAGAGGGGGTGCAAGAACCCTCCAAATTGTGGTAATATCACAAACTGAAGAAATTAGATCTTCAATATGCTTTAAGGAAATTAGGATTCACTGTCTTAACATTAAATTTTATTAGGAGATTCTTATGCACGTTTTAAAGATATAAAGCAAGTCAAATTATGTTTTATTTATCTTTCTATATTGTTTAAAGAAATTAGTAGATCTTAGACTCAAGTATCTACCTTCAACACCAAAGTTACTCAAGAAAGAATCAGAGTGAGATGATGAAACCACACTGAAGAAAGAGACTCATATTATTACACCATTAACTTCTTTTATCAGTATTGTCTTAATTAAATTGAATGGGACACCATGAGGAAAAAATAAGACATAACTGATCCTCCTTGGTATAATATATTTATAACAAATACTGTTTTAGTCAGTTATATATATACTTATGTAGTCTACTAGAAAGGTCATAAGAGATATCTAACTCATGAATGGCAAGGTAAAACAAATAAAGAAAATGCAGCACCAGAAAAGGCAAGTAATTGCACAGATGAATTCATTAGGCATCTTCTGCATAAGTGCTGTTTATATAAAGCGCTGTCACATAAAAATTTTAGAAATTGATAAAGCTTAACAGAAGAATCTATACTCCAGAAGTTTTAGGTTTGTTGCTTCAGCTTCTACCCATTGAGAAGAGAAAAACAGCTTTTCGAAAAGCCAAAAGCAGTTTTCAGAAAAGTGTAATTGGCCAAGCTTCAACTTTTGCAACAGAATATATTTTTTGAAGCTAGGCCAAAGAGGCACTAAGGATACTAGGTAGAAAGCATGGCCTAAAAGAGACCCAAGAAAGGATGAAAATCACTAAGAGAGCATAGAGTATTTCTACCTGAAAAGTTTTACCAAGGCCCATAGTATGAGCTAGTATGCACCCAAGGCCTTTATCCCCAGATTTCACTTTTGTGATTGATTGTACAATATTCTCCCACATGAATCGGATCCCAGCTACCTGCAATAACAAATTAGCCAAAGGCATTTAGCATAGCCATTTATTGCATCAGCAGCAATTAAAAAATTGGAAGAGTTCTAGCAGAAAATCTCTTAAATGTCCCCCACTTCACTTACAAGACATAAAATCTCAAGTCCCAACCACAACTTGCACATGTTCAGAAAAGTAGAGATTCACTCCATCAAGAAGACAGAAAAGAAAGGTGGCCTAAAACAATTTGAAATTCGAATCCCAACCCACACCAATACTTCAAAAAGAAGACTCCTAACAAATGTGTTGATCCAATACAAAAAAAAAATCAAGTAAGACCAGATGAATTGCATGGTAGGGACAATGTGTTATCGAACAAAGAAACTAGATCATAATAACCAGGAGGAAAATAGAAATTCTATCAATGAACAATGCATGAGTTTTTATCAATAAATTGTACAGGAATGAAAAGAAAACCTGATGGGCTTTTAATTTGGCTGATATACTAGGAGGAATCCTCACAGCTTCTTCACCACTCTCCCTCCTGACATTCACTATGTAACCAGAAACTGCATCACCAAGCACTTCCAAACTAGCTTCATCAGACAAGTTCCCATTAAAGCTTGAAGAGCTCATAATCTCGCATTTGGCAGGAAACTGCATTGACTTCAAACGCTCTTGGCGTTCCTATCAAAAATGCGAACACGATTCAAATATTGATACCAATTAACCAGTTTAAATGAAAAAAAGGTCTGTTTAAAGAAGAATCATCTAAAACAACCTTTTCTAATGCAATTTTCCTTTTTGTCTCTTCCCCTAATTCAGCATCATCAAGAATTCTTCGAATTTTCTTCTTTCGCTTCCTTTTATTACTGCTAGGAACATAAGCAAGGAATATTCTGTGAAATAAACCTTTACATATAAAGAAATATTAAATGTTAGTGTTATAAGAATCTTTCAACCATGTGTCCACGAGTTGAACCATGAAACCAATTTGAGAACTCAAAGCAAAGGGACAAGATTTCAAGATTTAAGAGGTTCAACATCAAAATGAAACCATGAGACCAGTGCAGTACACCTAGTATGTTAATGATAAACTAAAATTAACATCCACAAAACTATGAAAAAGCAATTTAGAATTTTCTCAATTAATATAATAAATTAATCAGACACATAACTCCAAAATGAACATTTATCATCAAATTGGAATGTTGAAGGTCAATTTTTTAAATAAGTCAACCAATATTTTATCTCTCTCTTTGAGCATTCTTTGCTATTTATTTGGCATGAAACTTTTTCAAAGGAAAAATTAAATCAGGATATTTTCTCTTTTTTTTTTTTTTTTGGGTAAAAAAATGGATATTTTCATTTGCTTCTTTTTTCTTCCCAACTGCCTTGAACTAGTGTGAGGACTCACCTTCTATATCCAAACTCAAGATTTTGTTATAGTTAAGAAACATAGCAGGATGATTGGTTTGAAGTAGGTTGGTAGGGAGTGATGATATTTAAGGATTTAAAGGGGTTTACAGATGACTGAAACCACCTAGGCTCAATTTTAGAGTTTTGTGATTGAGTTTGCAAGTCCAGTTTAAAAGTTTGAAAACATTACAGGAAAAAGGAACCATGTTTAGAATGAAAAGTTATTGCCATGCACAAGTCACTAATGGATTGAAATTCAATGGATGAAAACTTCAGCACAAACCCTAAAGCAAAAGTTTGTAGGAAAAAAGTGATTGAAATTTTGGACTAGGCAGCAAATAGACTAGTTTTTAAGCTTCATAGATTAAGACAGGATAATCTACATTAAAGTGTAAACTTCACTTGGCATGTTGCTTCCCTGGCCTGAACCAGGGGGATAACCCACCGTAGGTCCTTGGCTTTTTTCCTAAAGATCTAGTAATCGGAGTATGAGTCGTAAGCTGTCGCACTCTTCAACCCCAGGATCTTCCCTAGTTGGATTACCTACCTGACTAGCCACCCCAATCACTTAATCCTTTTACTATTTTTTTGTAAGGAAATCAGCTCAGGACTGTGTAATTACATCCCCATTTTTGTTGACTCTAAACAAAACGTCTAGTCTTGACTCAAAACTGAATGAGTCTGGACTTATTAGGCTCCTTCATTATCCAGCTATCTAGCAATCCTGGGAGCCACCTGACTTACTAGATAAATGTCCGCCTTCTTTTATTGATGTTTCTGATCTAGTCTTGGAAATTGGTCATTATGTGTTAAAGTTCATAACATCCCTTCATAACTTGTGCGACTCTAGAGAAAGAAAATTAGGGCTAAAAATTCTTGTAAAGTACGGCTAAAGAATCTTAGGGAACCATGTTGTTAAAGTGATGCAAGGAGTATCTTCAGGTCTTCAAAGAAATTATCATTTCAAAAAATTCTTGATGCAATGATGATCAATGAAGGCCAAAAAATGGGTCCAAAATGTTGCAAATATATATATGAGGAAAAATAAATACAAAAATCTTCAAAACCACAAAATAAGGCCCAAGAGGAAAGCAAATAGATATGATTTATAAGACCAAAATGAACATCTGTACCTCACATTAGTAGTAATCTCAGCATCTGAATTCTCTGATCCACTATCAGAGCTAGAAATGATTAACTCTCCAGATCCAATGGCTTTCTCCAATTCCAATGTTAAATTTTTCACAAGACTAGGACAGCAGCAGCAACATTGCCAACCAGAGGCCCGGATCCCAGACAAGAATTCTTCACCAATATTCCTCCTTATACAAGTGGTACAGAATAATGTTTTGCATGACTTACAACTTAATAAATCACTGCTTTGTCCACACCATCCACAATAACACTCCGAGCAGTCAGCATCCTATCACAGCCAATTAAACACAATAAATTCAATACAATCCCAAAAAGATTTCAAAAGTCAGTTGACCATTACAGAAATTCATATACAATTAATCAAGAATGATGGTTATAATTATGGAACAGTAAACAAATGTTTTATATCTTCCTTTGCTTATTCCTTTAAAATCCTTGGAGACTGTTCTAGATGTGTTGTAGGATTTACATCAAAACTTAAGTTCCAGTCTAGACACTCTAGACCATAAAAACCTATTAGATCAGACAAATCAGAAATCAGTATCCATCATTCTGTACTCATTACTGAAATATACATTTTACCAATTTAGACGCATCCTCATTACAAAATGAAGTGGTTACTGTGGCAAGCATCCCCTTTCCGAGGGCTGTTGCCACAATCATCATTGGGTTGTGAAACAGACGACCTCCATAGATGATTTGTATTTAGCAACCGCCTTCAATCCACCAACAATTATATCAAAACATATAACATACAGTTAGTTGGATACAGAAGGTATTCTTCAATGAAAAAGGGCTTTAACATGGAAAATGATTTGAAGAGTTTGTCATCCAGGGGAAAAAAATAAGATTCCCATCCAACTGTAGATTTTCCATCTTACATTAGACTGGAACATCTGCATGCATCCAATAAAACATATGGGTTTTCCACATAGATTATTGATCGTGGCAAATATAGCCCAACTATGTTTTCAACTCAACTATGACTTCCCTTAACTTTCCTTTAAATCAGAATGGGAAAGGCCACATCTTACTTTACCAACATTAACAGGGAAAAGGCAAAAAGAAGGAGCACCTTAATGCATTAACATCACTATAGTATTTCATCACAAAATATTAGGCTCCTAGAAATAAATTGCAGAGAAGTAGATGAAGTTACTTTAATCCATACCTTCAAATACATTTTCTGTTCCAGCATGCATTTGCAATCCCTGCAAATAATTACTTTCAGAAGTGGATGTTGCTGCACTTCAGTAACCACTTTAAGACAGGCAGTACAATGAAACTTCTCACACAGATTTGGTGAAGAAGCAGAATCAATGTCAATTGGCATCACAGACTTTACATCACCAATAGTTTCTTGAGTCACGGACTTTACATCAGCTTCATCATCACTGGCAAGGATAATAGTTCGACACTTCTTATTATCATCATTTGATTCTTGGTCCTCATGCGGTCTCTTGGATCCTCTAGAATTGCCAAAATCAGATATGGATATCTCAAATTGCCCCGAGGAAATGCCATTAGTTATGGACTGTTCTTTGCCAGGATCAGAAGTTTCAGAACATTCCAGTGCATCAGACTTCAAATTCTGGCATGCCAACCCATTTTCATCAGAAGGATCAGAAGGATAGGGCTCATCTGTGTTGCTTTCTAGCACCCGGTCTGAAGAGAAAACATCTTTCTGAATGTTACCCTAATTACATAAAAAAGAAACAATGTTAGTTCCTCAGCATAACAACTAACTTGGATGTCTCAAAGGGGATACTTCACACATGCTCACATCAGCTGCATATGATGCCCCAGACAATATAGCATAATATTGGTAAACATTTAACTCTAATGACCTTGTATTAAAACACATTTCCATGCCAAATCCCACATCAGATATGAAGGAAATGTTGGGCCACAAATAGTAGGTTGGTACCCTCACCTAACAGGCTAGTCATGAGTGAAGGCCTAGTACAGGACACTACCATACCATAGTCCTAATCTCAAAGACAAATGAGCATGTTTACAAATTATTATTAGTCCTCTTCTTTTGGTAAATAATGACAATAATAATATTAAAAAAATACAAATATATTAAGTGTCTCAAGGCTATTCAACCACCAGCATATCCACATAACAGTACAAAAACATTAAGTTGGCATTAATGGATCAACAACAACAAAATCAGAAGAAACATTGTTGCAAATCAATCTTATAGTAAATGGAAGAACATGTCAGTCTTCAAGTTAAACATCCACACAATATCTTCATAGCATTTTGTGCTCCTCAATTTTTAATTACCCAAGGGGCATAAAAGACTGATGTTCAACAAGATTACTTTCCAAGATTATTTCCATAAGTAGACTTACGAGCTATGAGTCTGACATAAATTTAACAGACTTCACTAAATAAAGCATCAGTCCCAAACTAAACTGAAAAGACTTAAACTATTGGGTTAAATTTTAGAATACTAACAAGCAACAGTCATTGTCAGAACTGTGATATCAGGATTGAATGGAATCATTGCACCTACCACCAATGGTTTAGGATAAATGAGTTGAATGCATAGAACTTTCAATTTCAGTCATAAATAATTGGAGATGAAAGCATCAATCATTTGTTAAAATTGATAACAAAGGTTATAAACATTTAAACAGGTTGCTTCAAGCAAATCCGGTCAACTACCTTAGGCAATGCAGCCCTGGAAGCAGTATCCTTAGTCTCTTATTCAATTTGGTTCAGCAACTTACAAGTATTTAGATCAATTTGGGCTTTTCATCAATTTGTCAAAATGTCGTGTTTTCCCTGGGCGCAAAGCCGATTATGCATGCTATTGTTAGATGTTCCTCAGGTGGTTTTTCAGTTTTAAATCCTGATTTAAACAAAAGTAATAAGCAGTCCAGAAAATTCTATAATCAACTATGCTTCTTTAAATTCTAGTAGGCTTTTAATGATAGATGCCCACTCCCTCTAAAATTCTCATTGCTACATGTCTCCATGGATTTGCTTTTCAGAGCACCAGCTACATGATATACAACTATCAAACCAAGAAACCTCATTTCTTGAGCTAAACACATCTCTACAGTGACCACTTACCAGTTAAATTCACTAAAGGAACCATATGTAATCAGTTTTCACAAAGCGTTTTGAGAATAAAATTATTTCTTTAAGAGAATTTTTTCTAGTTTTTTTGGTGGATTCCAAATATTTATTTTAGTCTAATGTGTTTTAGGGCAGTTTATCATATTTCATGCTACCTCAATTAAGGAAATGAAAACAGAAGTAGTAGCATGCAAAACATGGGAAAAAAAATAGAACTCACCTGTTTGGATCTCCTTCTATGTCTCCTCTGTTTCAAACGAAGTTGAAACTTCCGGTCAACATTTGCATCATCCTCTTCTTTGACCTGCCAATATACGCAGTGTCAATGTATGAAGGCACCTGATATGTATAACTTAAGACTACCCAGCAGTCATCAAAGGTCAGCTAAACCATTAATTCTAAATTTATAATAATTTGATCATGACAATTCTTTCTAACAAATTCTTTTACAAAATGTGACTCTGAACAAATTTCTGATGTAGACCACTCACAGAAAAGAATTAGATAAAGAATAAAGACGAATCTTACAAGAAAATCAAACAAATCAAAAGAGATTCAACCAAAAGTTAACTATTCTCATCGAAAGACAAAAACATTCAAAAAAAAAAATGATCACAATAAAGTATCAATTACAATATATGCCAATAGACAATAACACAAGCATAAGCTTTGCCAAAAGAGGTTAAGAATAAATCTACCCCCAGCACAAGGAAGGAAGATCAGTCAGAAAGGTAGGTGCCAAAAGACACTTACCTAAGAGAAGAGAAGTATTATTTTGCAAAACAGATCCAACAACAAATTAGAAATCAAATATATATTTGCATTTGTCATTATCATTCCACACAAAAATGCAAGTTTTGCTAAACAGCCAGGTAACACAACATAGCATAGTATGCAAATTTAAGACCAATCTTAAAGCATCTGCTTTAATCAACCTAACAGTATAAAATAGAACCCTAAGAAAGAAAACTTAATTAAGACTTAATCTGAATAAGTTGGAGTTGGACTTGGCAAAGAAAATCATTTTCCTCCAATTCATCCAATGGATCTTATTCTCTTGAAGACTGAAAACTAAGCCCTCTAATAGTAATTCACCCATCAAATCTCCTAGGTAATGGTTATTGCACAGAATCAAACCACCAAAGTCATCTGTAGACCACAAAAAAAAAAAAAAAAAAAAAAAAAAAAAA